AGTTCATACTGATAAAAATCCCCTAGATATGGGAACAAAAGTTTTATCTGTTAGTAAGTTCAAGTCCTGTTTAACTATGCTTCATATTGACACATGTTAATTTCTTTTGCAGGCATGGGCGATGATGATGAACTGAATGTTCCTTGTGCAAATTACACAACCAGAGAGCCAAGTGTTATTGAGAACCAAGGTGAAGAAATGAAAGAGTGTGTTTCTCCAAACACTTTCAAATTAGTGATATTCTTGACATTTGACTAAGCTACATTTGGGTTAAGGAGGCCCTTATGTGGCAGCCTCCAAATGGATGCTTACTTGTGCCAAAGTTTGTGCTTCTTTTGGATGGTTGAGATTTGTCTAATTGAATGAAAGGTTGGGATTAAATTTTGGATCCAATATGACTATTGGAGAGAGAAAGGGACGGCTCATTCTTTTCATTTTCTTGGTTTTAGAATTTTTCTCTTTCTCTCTGGTTCTTCATCGTCTGCGTGCGATTTCGTCACTTTCTTTCTTGGTTTTTTGGTTAATATATTTCTCAGATTAAATCCTAGTTTTAGATTAGCCCTTATAAAATCATGATGCTAGAGTTGAGGTGTGATTCTGAGCTTCTGCTGTTTTCAGTTTGACTTACTTTTGGGTAGAGCTAAGTGTTGTGGAAGGATTTGTGTTTGGTTTCGTAAATCCTTTGATCGATGATCGAAACTTGTGTATTTTGAGTGGTTTGATATAACTTTGGTTCTCTTGGACGGCGATATACATGGTGGAACGGGTTCAGTTCCTGAGCCCCCCCAGATTAGGCCATGTTTGGCCGAATTGGGTCAACAATCTCTGTTGTTTTTATCTTGTTTTCATTTTCTCATTTGAATACTTTAGTATATTGTGTTCGATTACAGTTCTTTATTATCGATACATATCCCAACACTTTTCTATATTAATATATAATTAGGATTTCTTTTAACTTTTCCAGTTTTTTGAAAAAGTATATATACGTATAACTGCGCTTTAGTTATCTTATTTTTAATTTCCCCTAATATCTTTGTAATGACGTCTCAATTTTTCATTTTGGAAAATATTAGCCTACTTTCTTAGATAGATAATGAACATTTCTTTATTTCTTTGTTAACTAAATAAATGACTTTTAGCACCAATTTGATTTAGCTAAAAATCAATTTTTTTTATAAATTTTAATAAAAGCTGATAATATATATGATTGAAATTTACTAAAGTTGTAGATATAACATTCCAAATTTTTACTTACTATTTTTGTAAGAGCCTAATTTAATGTTGGTAATTTAGCAAATAAAATAGTTTATATCTAGCATTGTCGTTACACTAAAGTCCAAAAGTTATAAATTCGACCCATTTATTTGCAAAAATGATTTATTTTCTTATGTATTTTTTTAAAAATAAATATCGTAAATTTTATTTTGGTCGAATATTTAAATATCATAGAAGTTGCTAAAATATATTAAAATTATACTCATTTTGCAGCTCATATTAAATTACATTAATTGAACCAAAAAAAGGTAATTTTTAATTTATTATATCCAAGTTATTCTAATAGAAAGAAAATGGTTATCTTTTAATATATTTTGTTAGTGTATATAATTTATAAATATAACGTTTTAGAAAAATGTGTACGGTTACCTGTTTAATAGAAAACATTAATATAAATTTGAATTTCATTAATAAATTAATTAATGAAACTGTTGAATTCGACATTTAATTCATAGACGTTTGATTGATTGATAAGAGCAATAGATTGATTTATTTAACCCTTGAACTTTTTTCACAATTATAACTTGATACGTTTTGGCGTTTTGTTTGAGTGGTTGATGGATGTTACATTTATGTGTAACTAAGATAGTATTTTTCACTTAAAAAATTTACTCCACTTCATTCTTTTCAATTTCACTTTACACATACACTGTTGAGAAAATTACACAACATCATTACTTGCATTTGCACATTTCTTTGAGTATCAATTGATATAAGAATACATAGTGAAAGTGGTAAATTCTTATTTCTTGATGTTTATATAAAATTTGGCATGAAATACTTTAAAGTCTTCAGGTCGATTTCTATAAAAAAAATATTTCGGGATAGACCATTGGGTCAAATCTTGCGTCATTGGATATCGCGACCAGTTTGCTCTAAATTTAAGAATATTGCTATGTTATGTCATTTTACATTTATATCATATTAAATAAGAATGTGCACGTATTTTTATTGAGTGTTTTTAAAATACTCATTCTTAAAATAACTTTTCAAAATACCCATTCTTGCCACTGTAAATATATTTTTTCTTACCAATTTCTGGCCAACGCATCTCATGATAAAATGTTGTAAATTTATGGTAACATTAATGGCATACTTCTCCCAAGTACCTCATAAAACGGTAAGCACTTTTTTCTCATATGTTTTATTCCATTGAATGGTGTACATATATAGAGGAAAAATATGCGTCCTATTTAGGCTATACATAATTGGTGGCAAAGATCATGGTTGACCCCTTGATAATGGGGATTTACATTGATTGATTTAATCGTATTTCCTATTTTGATTCTAACAGCTCACGCCAACACTCCCCCTCAAGTTTATTCATATAGATCTTTGATGTTCAAATTGCCAATGGAGCTGTGAAAATCTTTACTTGATACTGCATTTGTGAGTATGTCTGCTAGTTGGTCTTTGGACTTCACAAATGGGAGTCTAATTACTTTTGCATCTAGGTTTTCTTTGACAAAATGTCGATCCACTTCCACATGTTTTGTCCGATCATGTTGGACTAGGTTGTGAGCTATGGAAATAGCGGCTTTGTTGTCACAAAATAGATCAATCTCAAATGTAGGGCCAAAGTCAATTTCCGTAAGCAACCTCTTAATCCAAAGGAGTTCACAAAGTCCTTTTGCCATTCCACGAAATTCAGCTTCGGCGCTTGACAGTGCCACCACTTTTTGTTTCTTACTCCTCCATGTAACAAGATTCTCGCCAACAAAAGTGAAATACCCTGAGGTGGATTTCCTATTTGATAAGTTTCCAGCCCAGTCTGCATCTATATAGCCTTTTACTTGTAATCGGCTTCCCTATTTTGCATTTGTATTCTTTGAGAACATGAGTCCTTTTCCTGGCGAGGACTTTAGGTATTGGAATATCCGGGTCACAGCTCTCATGTGATCTTCACTTGGGTTGTGCATGAATTGACTAACCACACTTACAGCATATGCAATATCTGGACGTGTATGAGAGAGGTAAATTAGCTTACCAACCAACCTTTGGTATCTCCCTTTGTCCGTTGAAACTTGGTCTGGATGTTCAGTAAGTTGATGGTTTTGTGTGATTGGAGTGTCCACCGGCTTGCATTCCAACGTTCCTACTTCAGATAGTAGGTCCAACACGTACTTTCTTTGGGAGAGAAATATGCCTTTTTTCGACTTGGCCACTTCAATTCCCAAAAAATATTTGAGTCCTCCTAAGTTCTTCATTTCGAACTCAATTCCTAACTGTTTCTGAAGTCTAGATATTTCTTCTTCATCATCCCCTGTAATAATCATATCATCTACATAGACTATCATTGCAGTTACTTTGCCAGTTACTTTGCCTGATTTATGCTTCAGGAATAATGTATGATCTGAGTTACTCCATTTAAATCCATATTTCTTCATCGCTAAGCCGAACCTTCCAAACCACGTTCGAGGTGATTGTTTCAGTCCATACAGTGCTCGTTGTAGCTTGCACACTACTTTGGTATCTGAGGATGTTGTGTAACCTGGAGGAAGGTCCATGTATACTTCTTCTTCAAGGTTGCCGTAGAGAAAGGCGTTCTTAACATCCAGTTGATGTAATGGCTAGTCGAGATTAGTTGCAAGAGATAACAGTACCCTGACGGTGTTCAATTTAGCAACAGGTGAAAAAGTTTCTTGGTAGTCTACCCCATATATTTGCGTATACCCTTTAGCCACCAGTCTTGCTTTATATCTCTCAATAGATCCGCCTGCCTAGTGTTTGATGGAGAATACCCATTTACATCCTACTATTTTCTTCTCCTCAGGTAACGGTATTAGGGTCCATGTGTTATTCTGCAGTAATGCCTCCATCTCATCTTTTAGTGCCTGAGTCCAATTTGAGTTTGACAAAGCTTCCTCAACTCCCATTGAAATGTGACTTGAGGAGAGTACATGCACAAAGGCCCTTAAAGGTCCTGATAATCTCCTAGTGGATACGTAATTAGCGATTGGGTACTTCGATCTTCGTTCTTTAATTTCTGGATAATATCTGTTTGGTGGCTTGCCACGATTTTGCCTGAAAGGTAATGTGTATCCAGTAGTATTAGCCAAGTCATTTATATATGAAGGTGTGTTACAAGTGCTTACCTCAGGGATATTCTCAGGAGACAGGATTGTAGGTACTAATGGAGAGGGGGAATTTGGTTTGGCACCTTCAGGATGAGCCCTTATTTCGTCAATTGGCTCTTTAGAGTTAGCTATATGCAGTGAATTTTGCTCTAAATCTGTTTTAGTGTTTGACCAATCAAAGTGTACCCAATTTTGCTCTTCATTATTTGTCTCCCCCTAAAGAGGAGAATTGGTAGTAGGCAGGAAGAAGGTTTCAGTTTCCACAAATGTGACATCCATAGTTATGTAAGTGCAGTTGGTAGAGGGATCATAGCATCGGTAACCTTTATGATGTACACCATAGCCCAAGAAGAGACAGCGAAAAGCGTAAGGATCAAGTTTCGTTCGTTGACTTTTATGGATATGCACATAAGCCACGCAACCAAATACTCGAGGAGGGAGTATTAATATAGTGGGTATGGTGACGTGGGATGCCAAGACTTGTAATGGAGTTTTAAAACTTAATACTTTAGAGGGCATCTGATTAAGTAGATGCACTGTAGTGGATATTGTGTCAGGCCAGTAGCGATTTAGGACATGTGCTCCATGGAGTAAAGCACGAGCTGTCTTGAGAATATGTTGATTTTTGCGCTCGAAAATGTCGTTTTGTTAAGGAGTCCGAGGGCATGTTGTCTCATGAATTAGACCATGGTGTTCAAAGTAGGTGCGAAAGCGTTGATTATCATATTCGCCACCATTGTCTGATCGTATAACTCGGAGCTTGGCTGAGAACTGAGTCCGAATCATGGCATGGAATGACTGGAATACTTGTAGTACTTCATTCTTGTGCTTCATCAGGTATAGCCATGTCATGCGAGTACAATCATCGACAAAGATGACAAACCAACTAACCTTAGATCCAATAGAGTTAGGTGATGGACCCCACACATCAGAATGGATTAAAGCAAATGGAATACTCCTTTTATTCATACTTTGCGAATAGGAAGCACATTGACTTTTGGCCAAAATGCAAGTATTACATTTGAAGTCAGAAAGCACAACATTTGAAAAAAGACTAGGTAATAAATGTTTCAAATAGCTAAACAAAGGATGTCCCAAGCGGCGATGCCAAAGCCAAATCTGTTGTTCATTTTCATTACTTCGTATGTGATGTGCGCATCCCACACTGAAATTATCCATGTAGTATAGTCCCCCTCTTTTAGTACCACGCCCAAGTATCTCCTTCGTGAGAATATCCTGAAGAAAACAAAATGTAGGATAAATGAGTACCGCACAATTTAGTTCAGTAGTAACCTGACTAGCAGAAATTAATTTATGTGAAAGTAACGGCACAAGTAATGTATGAGATAAATGTAATGAGGGGGACAAAGTCACAGAGCCGGCTCCTGTGACTTGAGAAACGACCTCATTGGCATTTGTAACACTGGTGCGTCGAGGTATGGAATTCTGAGTAAAATCTTTCACACCATATGTCATGTGGTCAGTGGCTCTAGAGTCGAGTAACCAAGCACCCCTATTCTCGTCCCTTGAGGTGGTAGTTAACGCGGAACCAAAATTACCTATATCTAATGTAGGACCTGCACTTTGAGGAGACTCAATTTTGGGTAGTAGAGACAATTGGGGTTCAGCGGTCACCACAGCCACCTTACCCTTACGCCCATCTGTACCTCCCATGTCCCTTTTCTTTTTTTCCTGTAGTTCGTGCCACCAGTCTGGATACTTGTTAAGTTTAAAGCAATTGTCACGTGTGTGCCTTATATTTCCACAGTGTGAGCATTTAGCCCCTTCAGCCTTTAATTTTCCACTGTTGGTGCCGTGTGTTTTGTTGAGAGCCATAGACTTCGACCCATTAGAAGAGGCAATAATTGGACCCAGCTTAATTCCCTTGGTGGCTAGAACCGCACTGAAGGTGCCGTCGGCGTCGATGGGGGCCATAACTGCATGCCTAAGCGCCTCCCTGCGAACATGTGCGTAGGCTTGTTCTATGGAGAGAAACTGCTTCATCTGCAATACGCTGTTGCGAATGCTGTCCAGGTGGTCGTTGTGTCCATCCAAGAAGGTGTAAACTCTATCTTCTTGGACCATCTTGTTATAGTGTTGAATATCGGTGGCACATTCCATTGGATTGGGGCGGCGAAAGTCAATCTCATGCCACAGCCCCTACAAATGCATATAGTATTTTTCCAACAGACCTTCCGATTGTCTCAGTCGAGTAACTCGTCGTCGGAGTTCATAAACTTGAGACAAATCACTACCGTCGCAATACATCGTAGCAATCACATCCCATACGTCCTTCGCTGTGGAAAAAACGAATGAAGTTTCCAATAAGGGCTGGGTCCATGGAGTTAATTAACCAACTCTTGACAATGGCGTTGTCCGTTCGCCACTTTCGAAAGTTGGGATCAGTTTGTGGAGGCAATGGAGAATCACCATTCACATAGTCAATCTTGTCTTTTCCAGAGATGTACATCTCCATAATTTGGGACCACAAGGCATAGTTAGTATCGTCCAGTTTGATGCCAATTGGTATTGAATTTTCGATGTTTGGGTTTGGATGTTGAGTTTTGGATAAAGTTTCTGCCATTTTCTAGGTAAATTCTTGGAATAAAGTTTCTGGATTGGGTGGGAAATCACCTAAGTCGGTGATAATTCTAGTATCGGCCATGTGTTCGAAGAAAGGTTTACAAGAAGAGGGGTATGAATGTTTGATAGAGGAGGTGCCCTGGATTGATATTCTGCTCTGATACCATGATAAAACGGTAAGCACTTTTTCTCATATGTTTTATTCCATTGAATGGTGTACATATATATAGGAAAAATATGTGTCCTATTTAAGCTATACATAATTGGTGCCAAAGATCATGGTTGACCCCTTGATAATGGGGATTTACATTGATTGATTGTATTTCCTATTTTGATTCTAACAGCTCACACCAACAGCACCAACGAAAGTTTGATTCTGAATTTTTGTTTGACATTTGAAAATAAGTGAGCAACAATCATTTCTTTTATTGTATTCCTCTAAAATTTATATAAATAATACAAGACTTCTGTTAATAGATTTCTTATGTGTAGACTAGTTCTGTAAATTATGTTTGGTTCAAAAGTAGTGGCGTTAGTTAGCTTCCAACATGGAGATGCATGTATCTCAAAACTTTCTTCTATATGTGTGTCTGTTTAAAATGTTATGCATTGTTGTATCATTTCAGAGTTAAGGAGCATGTTAAAGCCCGTGTACACTCTTCGTCCATGCATTTTTTTATTGGGCATGGACTCCCCTCATGTGAGGGGAGTGTACACGAGCGTGTCAACTGCCCGTGTACAAATATCAAAATCCTAGAGTTAATTATTAATTACATGACCATGAGTTTAGTCATAAAACCATGGTACTGATTATGAAATCTTTTTCTAAATCCATGTTCCCCGTCTCATTTTTTAAATTGCATCTTCAAAGTCTCGTTTCAAACTTTCATATTGAATTTATAGCAATGAAATAGACCTTTCTTGTAAGGTTGGAGTTCACTGCATTAAAAACCTTTAAAAGAAAAATAAAATTTAATCACCTAAATTCTGTAAGAGTGGATAGTGTCAGTACCTAAAATTTAATGGATATAATAAGAATTTAAAATTTACAAGTTAATGCTTTCATAAGCTGCATTCATTGTATTTCCCAAAGTAGAATGACAAAGTTTACATATTTATGCAATGTTCAATCTTTTCGTGTTGCGCATAAATAAAATTTTTATGGTATTAGAAAAGAAGTAACTTTACAATTTGAATAAAATGTGGTTAACCACTGTTGAAAAAAAAATATAAATTTCCAAAATAAATGAAATGATTTTACTCTAGTGATTTCAATATAACTTGTGAACTTGTTAAGAAAGTGATTTCTACTTATGATGAGCACGTGTGTGTGTGTGTGTGTGTATATATATATATTACTTTTGTATGAATTTTTCATTAAAAAAATATTTAAAATAAAATACATGGCACTTAGAGCTCGTCAATCTACTACCGTCCGATGAATCCAAAGTATGGATGAAATGTTATGTTTCAGTTTACTTTCAAGCATGATTTATGAATCATTTAAGCTTGAATTCATGAAATGCTTATGATATTTTGAATGAAATATGTTATGAATGTTATTATTTTGTTTTAATATACAAGAAGGTATAATGATTAGCTATTATATTAAAAGCTATTATATTAAAACCCTAGGAGCATAATGTATAATTTGATATCATTATCATAGATAAAACATAATTGGACATTTACATGACAGACAAGGTTAGAATTTATTAGACGCTATAAAGGCCACAGTTTATAGAGCAGCGTTGAACCGTAGGTCCATCATCAATCCAATGAGAATTACGTGACTAACCCTGACTCGTTCACTTGTTGAACACGTGTGCAAGACATCTATGAGAGATGTATGGCAGCTGTGGAAGCAGGACTGAAGATCACGCATATTGTGGTTGTGAATAACCTCAACGGGAGACATGGGTGTTGTAGTTAGGGATGAGGTTCTAGAAGGTAAACCTTTAGAGCACCCAAACACAATTGTGTTAGGCATATATTGTCATGCTCTTTTAAATAGGTGGAGCGAGAGTCTAAAATCATGACCGGAGCTGGAAGATGAGATCGGAGACGAGATGGGAGATGGTGTCGAGCCCTAGCTCGATCTCGAGTATGAGTTGGACATAGAGGAAAATCCTAAGTGGGAGAATGATGATGATTTTGGGTTGGAATTTAAGAATGGTCATGAGCATGAACTAAGCCACTGGTTGAGATGGACATAGAGTTCGCTGACACAAAAGACTTCTCCAAAGATGAAACTTCACCAAAGAAGATTCGCATGATTTGTAGGAATTAGAAACTTAGATTCTATTTTCTTTATACTATGATATATTTCTCTTATGTTATTGGAAATTCAAACTAGTTAAACTATTGTATATTCTTAATTCAATGAGTATTATTAATAAAAAGAAAAAAATTCCTTTGAACATATAGAGCTATTTTGTTGTTTAATATTCCTAAGAAAAAAATTATTTTTAATGATTTAAAGGAAATGGCAGGACAATAAGACCAAACAACTATGTTCAGGAATCGGATAAGGGCAATACACAACCTTGGTAGAAATCAAACACCAGCACCAGCACTCCTTAGAATGTACCGACAGATGCCAACAACACAAGATCAATTGTGGAGCAGTTCAGTTGTTTTAAGCCTCCGTTTGATGGCAAGGCAGTCCCTTTAATAGTCGGATAGTGGTTAAGAGGATTGGAATGAATCTACGACACATGGCATACACTAATACACAAAAAGTGTCATGCGCCAAATTTATGCTAGTCGAAGCAACATGTTAATGGTGGGAGCCTGCTTCATGCACCAAAATCGAAGCACAATAACATACTATGACTTGGGCACAGTTCAAAGAAGAAGTGCTGACAAAGTACATTTCCCAATCCCTGAGGGATCGAGAAATGTAGAGTTCCTACTAGTGAAACAGGGAAATATGTCGGTTGATGAGTATGAAAGGAAGTTCAAAAAACTTTCTAGGTATGTTACATATCTTGTAGACACCAAGGCAAAGAAAGCTAGGAGGTTCGGACTAGAGTTGCATCCAGAGATTGGAGGAATAATGGCATCTCACCATACTACTACCTATAGTGAAGTCCTTTAATGGGCTTAATCAATTTTTGATCGTCTAGAAATAGATCGAATGAGTGAGAAAGGTAATGAATATATGGGGAACAAAAGTGGAATGGATCGAATAAAAGGAAAGAGTTTGGACAATTTAATAAGGCTAATACAAAATTAGGATTATGATCAAGTAAACCAAATAAAATTACTCCATGATGTTCTAAATGCAACAAGGCAATGGAGGAGAGTACTTATTCGAGAAAAATGTGTGTTATTGATGTATCCAAGAAGGCCATTTTGCCCCAGATTGCAACGTATACCTACCTAAGAAAGACTATGAGCAGGGCAAGAATGTGAAAGTCAAAGTATTTGCCTTAACTCGAGAACGGGCAACAGAGGATACAAATGTAATTACAGGTATTCTATCAATATCTAAACAACCTACATATGTCTTTATAGATTCAGGAGCTACTCATTAATTTATCTCTATCGCATTTATCGATAAATCATGTACTACATGTTAAAAATTCGATAGTGTTCTAGAAAATTTCATTCCATCGGGTAAAATTTTGAATATCAATCAGATCGCTAGGATGGTAAAGTTAGCAATGAATGGAAATTAATTAAAAGTTGATCTATACCTCCTAGATATGAAAAACTTTGATATCATTCTAGGAATAGACTAGTTAGGAAGCAACCATGCAACCATTTGATATTTCGAAAAAGAAGTAATTTTTCAAAAGCTTGGGGAAGAAGATTTTAGATTCTCGTTGCACGAGTTAAGTCTTTTTCTCGCCTCATGGTAGCCACGAAGACAGAAAAGATGTTAAAGAAGAAATTTTGTCAAGGATTTCTAGTGAGCATATCTAGGACTTAGGGATCGAAGGTCACTATTAGTAATGTACTGATTGTACGAGATTTCGTTAATGTATTTCCTAATGACTTATCCGGCGCATCACTTGATAGACAAATAAAATTAAAGATGCAATTGCAGGAATTGTTGGATAAAAGTTACATCCGACCAAATATGTCTCCTTGAGGTGCATCGGTTTTGTTTGTAAAGAAAAAGATGGTTCAATAAATATGTGCATTGACTATAGAGAACTAAATCAGTTGACTATCAAAAACAAATATTCACTTCCTCGAATTGAAGACCTTTTTAATCAGTTGAATGGTGTAATAGCATTTTCCCAGATTGATTTAAGGACTGGTTATCATCAATTGAAAGTAAAGGCAACCGATATTACAAAGACAGCATTTAGAACGCGTTGTGGTCATTATAAGTTTACTGTAATGCCCTTTGGATAAACGAATGCTTCTACAGTATTTATGAATTTGATGAATAGGATATTTCATCAGTATTTATCAATTTGTCATTGTCTTCATCAATGACATTTTAGTGTATTCAAGGAATAAGGATCAATATGAAGATTAAGGAAAGATAGTTTTGGAAACGTGACGAAGGGAGAAATTGTATGCTAAATTCAAGAAATGTGAATTTTGACTTGATCGTATAGTTTTACTTGGTCATGTGGTTGCGGTGCAAGGGGTTAAAGTAGACCCTTATAATGTTGAGGCGATAACCAACTGGTCTAGACCAACGAATGCAGGAACAAGGATCAACATGAAGAACAATTTAAAATAGTGTTGGAAACGTTACAAAGGAAGAAATTGAATGCTAAATTCAAGAAATTTAAATTTTGGCTTGGTCTCTACTAATGCAGTTTGGGAAGGTAATCGCATACGCCTTAAGATAACTAAAACAACATGAACAAAACTACCCTGCGCATGATCTAGAGTTGATGGCGGTAGTACATGCTCTAAGATATGGCGTCACTACCTTTACGGGGAAAAATACAATATTTATAATGATCACAGGAGCTTGAAATACTTCTTTACTTAAAAAGACTTGAATATGAGGCAGAGAAGGTGATTGGAGTTAGTTAAAAATTATGATTGCACTATCTATTATCATCAGGGTAAAGCTAATGTAATCGCAGATACTCTTAGTAGGAAGGTAGTAAGATAACTAGTAGTTTTACTCACAACTCAAGTGCAGTTAACAAATGAGTTCAATAAATTAAAATTAGAAGTTACTCGAGTTATTGCAAGGATTGTGGCATATACGATTCAACCTACTCTTAGGGGTCAAATCAAGGATGCCCAAGACAATGACCTATTTTTGAAGAATTGTACAAGTAAAAGAAAGGATTTTGCAATAGCAGATGATAATCACTACACCAAAAATGATCATTTGCAACACATAAAAGGCAACATTCGATAGTTAAGTGTTGCTAAAGGGGTCTATCGTAACATTTTAATGAGCGAATGTTGCCATTAGTTAACAAAATTGAGCTTTGGCAACATTTTGCAGATAGATGTTGCTAATATCACCTTCCGCAACGTTTATTGAATGTTGCAAAAAGTTTTATTTTTTGCAACGTTTAATAAGCATTGCTAAAAGTTAAGTTTATAACAACGTTCAATAAATGTTGCTGAAACTCGCTTTTGCAACATTCATCGACTGTTGCAAAAATGAACGTTGCAAAAAGTTTCATTTTTCACAACGTCCAATAAACGTTACAAAAACATTCAATAGATATTTCTTTTTGCAACTCACGAGAGACTACAACCTATCTGCCATCTCTCTCTCTCTCTCTCACGCCTACAGTCCTGTTCTAATTTCCACGGCGTCGCCTCTCTCATTCCTCACCAAATCATCGACATCGCCCAACGCCGATAGTCAATTTTCCACAATCAAGAATCGCCGTTCAATAGCAAGGATGAAAATTTAATAGAAGAAGAAAAAGCAACATCAAAGCTAGCTGCTTCAAAAAGGAAACGACTGGCGACGATTAGTATTCCGGTGATGGATATGGGATTTGAAACGATGCGAGATATGGATTTGGATAGGTCGAGTGAAGTGGAGGTGGAAGGAGAAGGGTATTCTTTGTATTGTAAGAGAGGTAAAAGGGGTGGTGTTATGGAGAATCAGTACTCTGCTGTTATGGGTCTTCAAGGGTATTCCATATAGGTCAGTTTTTATGAACAATCCATCAACTTATTTATAATTTTTTGGGGCTATTTTTATTTTCTTATAAATAAAGAACTGGTAAAATAAAACTATTGAAAGAAAAATAAAAAATGGTTTACAATCTGTTTTCTCTTTGCACTTAAAAGGTCGTTAAAATTCAATAAAAGCTGGAAAAGAAAAGAACCTAAATTGGGTGTATTATCAAGAATAGAATCTAAATTGGGGGTTTCGATTTTCAGCTTTCTTTGGTGTATTTGATGGACATGGAAGCGCAGGAGCTGCAGAATTTGCATCAAAGAATTTGGATAGGAACATTATGAAGGAAGTGGAAAGGAGGATATGTGAAGAGGAAAGAATTGAGAAGGCAGTGAAGAAGCAACCTTTGAAACCTTGTATTTCAGGATGATTTACAGAATATGAACTAGAAGGCACTTCATGTATTTGATTAGTATATATTTAGACGATTGGTCACTATTTCACAAATGTTCTTTTACTGCATTTGTGTTCTCATAAATTTTATAATCTAATATGTTATTTTCTATGGTTTGCTTGGCAGGAACATTACTCTAACTATGCAAGTTGCTTGTCAATTGTAGATCTTCTGCAAATAGTGGAAAGGTACCTCATCATCTAATTTGACTTCCCTATAAGAAGGCTATGTCCAAAATTGTTTCATTTTTACACAGGGACCTCAGAGGGCCAGATATTGACAACCTCAGCATAACGATCTTGTGCATTTGGAAGAACAACTCCAGGCTGCATTAATGGAAGCAAGATCTACAAAGGTAAATTTTTTCACCCTATTCTTATACTTAATCTTTTCAATTTCTTCTACTTTCTCTGCACAAAAGATCAATCCTTTTCTATTATTCTCATCACATCTTCAGAGAACACTAACATAAAAGTATCAATTGTCTTCTTTTCATCCTTTCACATTTTTGTTGAAGATATTCTCTGAGAAAGCAAATCTTTTATGTGTTTTTGTGGGTACTCTATATTTGAATGGAGTATTTATTTATTTATATTGGTCAGTTGGACAATGGCAAGAAAGAAAAATATAAATCTGCAAGGACAAAAGCAGAATTGAAAGTGTGACTTTTGGAAGATGATGGAGAAATAAGGTTTAGAGAAAAGTACCACAAGTTTGAAAGAGCTTTGAATGAAGAACTTTGAATTAAGAACTTTTAAAAGCTTGGGAGAATTTTTCAGTGAAGCTTGAAAGAGCTTGTACACAAGTCACTGCATCGGCTGGAATGGTATTTTCATTTGTAGAAGGAGCCTTCATTTCTGCCCTTATGAATGGTGAATGGATATTGCTGGATGAAGTAAATTTGGCTCCTCCAGAGATCTTGTAGCGAGTTATTGGGGTCCTTGAAGAAGAGAAAGGATCACTATGTTTAGTTGAGAGGGGTGATATTGATTATGTGTGTAGGCATCCCAACTTCCGTATATTTTCTTGCATGAATCCTTCAACTGATGCTGGTAAAAGAGGCTTGCCATTTTCGTTAAGGAGTAGATTCACAGAAAAGGATCTGATGAAGAGTATGTTTTAACAAGTAATGCTGAGAAGCATCTGGAAAATGTGGCTCGTGCCATTTTCATTGGAAGATATCTAGTCCTTCTACAGGGACCCATGTCTAGTGGAAAGACTAGCCTTGTTAAGTATTTTGCTACGATAACTGGTCATCAATTTGTACAAATAAATAATCATGAACATACTGATCTACAAGAGTACCTAGGTTCTTATATTACCGATGCAAGTGGAAAGCTCGTTTTCCATGAGGGTGCCTTGGTTAAGGTTGTTCGAAATGGTTATTGGATTGTTCTCAATGAGCTCAACTTGGCTTCATCTGATGTGCTTGAAGCATTGAACAGGTTGCTAGATGACAACAGGGAACTTTTTGTTCCTGAACTGCGTGAAGTTATTCGTGCGCATCCAGATTTTATGCTTTGCGACTCAAAATTTGGATTGTCTCCTCAAATTTTTATAGGTAATGATTGTTCTTTTTTTTTTTTTTGTATATTATTTGTGGAAGAGGTGATTAAATTTTTGTACGGAGGCATTTTTGTATATTATTTTTGTAGGTAGTGATTGTGCTATTTTTCTTTTTTAGTTAGGTGGTGTTGTATCATGTTCAAGTGTATTGATTCAAAAATTTGTAATGAAATTATCAGTTTTTATGCAATTTCAAAATTTGTTCACAAAGAGTCATTTTCAATTTTGCAAATCAATTAATATATATTGGTTTAAAAAAAAAAAAAAGTCTTTTGCAACGTTTATCTAACGTTGCAAAAAACTGACTTTTGCAATGTTGAATAAACGCTGCAAAAAGTCTTCCCTCAATGACAACATCGGTCTTCGCAACACGCAGTAAAACGTTGCAAAAGGTCTTTTGCAGCGGTTTTTGGCGGCTGCAAAAGCCTTTTTTTGGTGTAGTGAATGCTTTGATGTTCGAGGGAAGATTATGTCTGATGAATGGACAAAGAAAGATATATTAAAGAAAGCTCACGCTATCCCGTATGCTACACATCCTGATGGTATAAAAATGTATCGATACCTTCACGATATATTTTGATGGAGGAATATAAAAGGGTTTTTTTTTTATTTTTAAAAGTGTATGGTATGTCAATAAGTGAAAATAGAACATTAAATGTCATCAGGACCATTAAATTCATTAGAAATTTCAGAGTGAAAATGGGGGTAAATAGCTATGGATTTTGTTGTAAGTTTTCCAAAGTCAACAAAAGGACACAATGCCATCTCGATAATTTCAAGGACGAAATTATAATAAGGGGGAAGGCATGTAATATTTCAAATTTTTACTTACTATTTTCATATGGGCCTAATTTAATGTTGTTCATTTAGCAAAAGAAATAGTTCATATCTAACCTTGTGATCACACTAAAATAAGTTAAATAGATAAGTTCAACCACCTATTTGCAGAAATGATTTATTTTCTTTTGTGTGTGTGTGTGTGTATATACATACATACATACATACATACATATATATATATCGTAAATTTTATTTGGATTGAATATTTAAATATCATAGAAGTTGGTAAAATATATCAAAATTATACTAATTTTGAAGCTCATATTAAATTACATAAATTGAACTCAAAAAAATATTTTGTTTAACTTGTTATGTCCTAGTTATTCTAATAGAAAGAAAATGGTTATCTTTTAATATTTTGTTAATATATAAAATATAAAAACGTTAATATCAATTTGAATTTCATTAATAAATTAATTAATGAAAATGTTAAATTCTACATTTAAGTCATAGATGTATGATTGATTGATGGAGGCAATAAATTGATTTATTTAACCTTTGAACTTTTAACAATTATGACTTGAGACGTTTTAACGTTTTGTTTGAGTGGTTAATGGATGTTATATATATGTATAGATAACTAGGATAATATTTTCACTTTAAAAATTTACACCACTTCATTCTTTGCAATTTCACTTCACACGTACACTGTTGAGAAAATTACACAACATCATTGCATTTTCAGATTTCTTTGAGTATCAATTAAGGTAAGAATACATAATGCAAAGTGATAAATTCTCATTTCTTGGTATTTATATAAATTTTAGCATAAAATACTATAAGCCATTCGGGTCAATTTCTATGTAAAATTCTCCAGGATAGACCATTGGGTCAAATATGTAAATTCTACGGGATATAGAAATTCTTAAGAAATTCTTTGAGCTATTGGTTATCGCGACCAGTTTGCTCTAAATCTAAAAATGTCGATATGTTATGTCATTTTATATTTATACCATGTTAAATAAGAATTGCGCATAGTTTTGCTAAGTGTTTTCAAATTACTTATTCTTACAATAACTTTTCAGATTAAAATAGGTCGTGTGAACGCGTGGAAGATTGACGAGTGATGCTTATGGGGTTACCAAATAAAATTTCTAGAAATGTTAATTGAAAATATTTATTTGAAGAACATCTTTATGTTAAATTGTGTGTATGTTATTTAGTAGTTTTTTTAGTGTTTTAACATTTGACATTCTATGTTAAATTTAAATTAATGGTACGAAATTGTAGTATTTTAAGATCTTATTTGATATGAAAATTTTCAATTAGATCGTTGATTTATCACTCTCAATTTATTGATCAAATATCAAAATTTGAATAAAAGTAAATTTTTACTTAAATTAGGAAAATGAGATTTTTGTAACACTTCAAGTCTATTTTTATTAAAAAATGAAATAGATTTTGGGGTGTTATAGTAGATCCCTTGAAATATGTGGTTAAAATAATTATTGTCTCTACTTAAATTTTCATCGAACATTTTTTAACTAAATCTTGTATTTTACTTAAAAGGTAAAAGTATATTAACTTCTTCCTCACATTTCCCTACTTGAACCGAAGCGGGGTGCGATTCTGACGCAGTCATAAAAGGTGAGAAATAAGAAATAAAACTCCAATATCGTTGAACAAATTAGGAAATCATCCACAAATTTATTAAATTTATCAAAAAATAATCAAATAACAGTGAGCCTTCGTCCTAGCTTTTTCTTTTTTAATAAATTAATCCTAGCTTTTAAAGAAAATGCCAAACTATAATTACTCTTCTAGATAAAGATAAACTCTAGAGAAATTAACTAAATGTGAATATAAATTATCTAGACAATAAAATCCGCTAAAATTAAAAAGGGTAAAGTCTAAAGCCTAGACGACATAATTTGGTCACAAAATCAGCGAGTCCAAGAGTTTTAGCCCATGCATTTTCGTTAAGGAGTAGATTCACAGAAAAGGATCTGATGAAGAGTATGTTTTAACAAGTAATGTTGAGAAGCATCTGGAAAATGTGGCTCGTGCCATTTTCATTGGAAGATATCTAGTCCTTCTACAGGGACCCATGTCTAGTGGAAAGACTAGCCTTGTTAAGTATTTTGCTACGATAACTGGTCATCAATTTGTACAAATAAATAATCATGAACATACTGATCTACAAGAGTACCTAGGTTCTTATATTACCGATGCAAGTGGAAAGCTCGTTTTCCATGAGGGTGCCTTGGTTAAGGTTGTTCGAAATGGTTATTGGATTGTTCTCAATGAGCTCAACTTGGCTTCATCTGATGTGCTTGAAGCATTGAACAGGTTGCTAGATGACAACAGGGAACTTTTTGTTCCTGAACTGCGTGAAGTTATTCGTGCGCATCCAGATTTTATGCTTTGCGACTCAAAATTTGGATTGTCTCCTCAAATTTTTATAGGTAATGATTGTTCTTTTTTTTTTTTTGTATATTATTTGTGGAAGAGGTGATTAAATTTTTGTACGGAGGCATTTTTGTATATTATTTTTGTAGGTAGTGATTGTGCTATTTTTCTTTTTTAGTTAGGTGGTGTTGTATCATGTTCAAGTGTATTGATTCAAAAATTTGTAATGAAATTATCAGTTTTTATGCAATTTCAAAATTTGTTCACAAAGAGTCATTTTCAATTTTGCAAATCAATTAATATATATTGGTTTAAAAAAAAAAAAAAGTCTTTTGCAACGTTTATCTAACGTTGCAAAAAACTGACTTTTGCAATGTTGAATAAACGCTGCAAAAAGTCTTCCCTCAATGACAACATCGGTCTTCGCAACACGCAGTAAAACGTTGCAAAAGGTCTTTTGCAGCGGTTTTTGGCGGCTGCAAAAGCCTTTTTTTGGTGTAGTGAATGCTTTGATGTTCGAGGGAAGATTATGTCTGATGAATGGACAAAGAAAGATATATTAAAGAAAGCTCACGCTATCCCGTATGCTACACATCCCGATGGTATAAAAATGTATCGATACCTTCACGATATATTTTGATGGAGGAATATAAAAGGGTTTTTTTTTTATTTTTAAAAGTGTATGGTATGTCAATAAGTGAAAATAGAACATTAAATGTCATCAGGACCATTAAATTCATTAGAAATTTCAGAGTGAAAATGGGGGTAAATAGCTATGGATTTTGTTGTAAGTTTTCCAAAGTCAACAAAAGGACACAATGCCATCTCGATAATTTCAAGGACGAAATTATAATAAGGGGGAAGGCATGTAATATTTCAAATTTTTACTTACTATTTTCATATGGGCCTAATTTAATGTTGTTCATTTAGCAAAAGAAATAGTTCATATCTAACCTTGTGATCACACTAAAATAAGTTAAATAGATAAGTTCAACCACCTATTTGCAGAAATGATTTATTTTCTTTTGTGTGTGTGTGTGTGTATATACATACATACATACATACATACATACATACATACATACATACATATATATATATCGTAAATTTTATTTGGATTGAATATTTAAATATCATAGAAGTTGGTAAAATATATCAAAATTATACTAATTTTGAAGCTCATATTAAATTACATAAATTGAACTCAAAAAAATATTTTGTTTAACTTGTTATGTCCTAGTTATTCTAATAGAAAGAAAATGGTTATCTTTTAATATTTTGTTAATATATAAAATATAAAAACGTTAATATCAATTTGAATTTCATTAATAAATTAATTAATGAAAATGTTAAATTCTACATTTAAGTCATAGATGTATGATTGATTGATGGAGGCAATAAATTGATTTATTTAACCTTTGAACTTTTAACAATTATGACTTGAGACGTTTTAACGTTTTGTTTGAGTGGTTAATGGATGTTACATTTATGTATAGATAACTAGGATAATATTTTCACTTTAAAAATTTACACCACTTCAGTCTTTGCAATTTCACTTCACACGTACACTGTTGAGAAAATTACACAACATCATTATTTGCATTTTCAGATTTCTTTGAGTATCAATTAAGGTAAGAATACATAGTGCAAAGTGATAAATTCTCATTTCCTGGTATTTATATAAATTTTAGCATAAAATACTATAAGCCATTCGGGTCAATTTCTATGTAAAATTCTTCGAGATAGACCGTTGGGTCAAATATGTAAATTTTACGGGATATAAAATTTTTTAAGAAATTCTTTGAGCTATTGGTTATCGCGACTAGTTTGCTCTAAATCTAAAAATGTCGATATGTTATGTCATTTTATA